ATGTTATGCAGGTTCCTGGGAAACCAAACAAAGCAATTCCCTCCCAATGATGACACACAAAGACCAGGTTTGAAAGAAGAGATCTTTACTTCTCAAAGTGCTTCGATCTGGTACCAACAGTCATACGAAGGCAGATTGTTCTAGTTGGACACGGGCAATAAATAACAAACAACCACTTTCAATTAGCGTCTTTCCTGGTTGCTTTTTTCGGGTGCCTACCTAAAATGTTGTAAAAGCCTAGACAAAGAGGTTACAATGGAGTAAAGGCTGTTTGGCAATGGCTACAATGTTAAAAAAGACGAAGACATAAAAACACAACAAACTGCTTTAGGAGCATGCAACGGCAAAGGTATGGTGGCGCTCAACTGGTGTGCTTGACCATAAAGTGAGTCTGTCACCAGCACCTGTATAAGGGGCATCCCCCGCCTGTGCTGCTTATCTGCACTCTCTTTAAGAACTAAGCCAGCCAAATAAGCATCCAACACATTAGGTTTATCAGAGGTTCCTCACTCCATACTTGAGCTCCACCGGCTGGCAGCTCGGTTCTTAATGTTGCCCGTGGTGGCCTAGCAGTTGGCCGATGGAACCATAGCCTACACCAGGAGACCACGTATCTGAAACTCCCATAGCCTACACCAGGAGACCACGTATCTGAAACTCCCACAGCCTACACCAGGAGACCACGTATCTGAAACTCTCAGATGTGTCAGATTCTGATTCCTCAGCCAGCTTAGCTTTTCAAAGCAGAACTAAAGTCCAAAAATGAAGTACTGGTGGACATGCAAAGTCTCTTCTGCCAAAGAACATCTTCCTCTTGCCGACCATGTTTTTCAGTGTACACTTCCTGTGGCACATGAGCAGTGCAGTATACCCCTGGCTCATGCCAATAGAGCGGGGTGCTGCAAGGGTGGAACTCCAACCAGAGCGACAGCCCAATGGGAGAGCCGGATCCAGAAGAATGGCAGAAGATGTCAATAATGGAACTGAGGGAGGGAGCACGGACGTCTCACTCGTGGAGGAGGGAACACCAACGAGCTAGTATTCAATAATGTACAAGAATCCTGGGCATACGTGGCCATTGAGACAACAGCCCACCCACCCCAAAAGAAGCAAAGATCCACTTTTAGAGAGTGCGCATTTGGTGGCACCGGTGAGAATTAAAACTCTTCTTCACAGGGAGCATTTTCAATTCTTTTTTTTTACGTGGTGACAACATCACTTTAAAAGCAACACCCCATCCACTAGAAACGTGTTGGACCTTCTTCTCTTATGCAAGAAAAACTCATAATACTCAAACGGACCCTGTCTAATATCACTTATATTAAACCCCTGCACCCCCACAAAGCAAAGTAGGCCAACAGGTGATCCTTCACCAGATTTTAGAAAGTGTGGCTCAGCTGTATACAGAGTAATACGGATCCGGACTGATACCTTCTAGTGTCCATCAAGTGTTCTTCATATCCGCTTGTGCATGCGGGTATCTTCCTTCTGGGTGTGAGTTCTGTGTTTCTAGTTCGATAAAGTCCATCGGAGGAGTGACGGGAGACTGTGTGACTTCATTCCTGTACAATGTTCTCAGTTGCTCACACCGATCAGCCATAACATTATGCACTATGGGAAGAAGACAAGCCGGTGGAGGAGGTGATGGTTGGGCAATGTTCTTCTGGGAAACCTGAGGGGCCTGTCATTCATGTGGATGTGACTCTGACATGTACCACCGACCTAAACATTGTTGCTGACCAAGTACAACCCTTCATGGAAACAGTATTCCCTGTGTGCCCTCTTTCAGCAGGATAAGGAACCCTGCCAAACTGCATAAATGGTTCAAGAACGGTTTGAGGAACACAACAATAAGTTGGAGGTGTTGACTTGGCCTCCAAATTCCCCAGATCTCAATCCAATCGAGCATCTCCTGGAAAAACAAGTCTGATCCATGGAGGCCTCACCTCAATACTTAAAGGACTTGAAGGCTTGGTGCCAGATACCACAGCATACCTTCAGAGGCCTAGAGGAGTCCAAGCCATGATGGGTCAGGGCTGTTTTGGCAGCAAAAGGCGGAACTACTCAATTTTAGACAGGTGGTCATGTTGGTGTATAATATGCAAAAAAAGTATTACAATATTAGGGATGTCCCGATACCACTTTTTTAAGACCAAGTACAAGTACTGTCCCTCATGTACTTGCCGATACCAATTACCGATACTTTTTCTTAAAGGGACACGTGACTTTTTTTCTAAAACAACACAGAGTGATGGTTTTAGGGCAGTTTCTCACCAGGGCTAAATACGGATGTCACCAGAACTGAATACACATCCCCAGAGCCGAACACATGGCCCTAAGGCAGGATAGTATTCTGCTTTGGGGACATGTATTCTGCGAATACATGTCCCCAAAGCAGAATTCCTCTCACCAGGCTGTGTGTCGATCTCACCCGGGCAACGTGGACATCTGCAGTGGCTCTGCGGGCACTCCACCTCACCGGCGATGTCGGGACTTGGCCTCCCCCGCGTCCAGACCGGCTATGCTGCCACGTCCAGTCCGGCCGTACTGGCCCAGTCCTCCCCGTCAGTGAGCGACAGGAACCCTCAGCTTCTAGCCTTGGGGCGGTAGTTCCGTCCCCGGGGCTGTCCATGGCTGTGCCTGCGCCGGGGAGGAGGAGATAAAGAACCGGACAGGCACTGCCATGGACAGCTATCTGCAGGTCCCCAGAAGGCTGCCGAGGTCCCCACAAGCGCGGGAACTCGGACGGCCGCTGCTGTTTGATAATTTAAAGGGCCGGTATCGGCCTTAAGAATCGGGGCATTTTCTCGAGTACAAGTACTTGTGAAAATTCCTGGTATCAGCCCCGATTACCGATTCTAGTATCGGTACATCCCAATGAAATATGAATAAAAAGAACACCTCAGCATCCTGATTTAGACTTGTATGGATTCTGTGTTCTGGACTTTACTACATATGAACATTTGTCCAGAAAAGGTGTGGCTATACAAATTCTAACAATACGGATGGAAATGTGCAATTTTACACAATTGGTCCTTTTTTCTTCCATGCCTATTCTGATAATGGCAAACAAACCATTGCCGGTGCATTGAAGACATCCATTCGTAGCCTCGCCATCTTCCAGGAAGTAGGTGGTACCATGATCCATGAGAAGTGATCAGCTGTAGGACTTCACAGAGTTTCCCAAATTCTGGAAGGCTCGGATAAATGATATCCACGTGGGAGGGATAGATAAGGTTCTTCTTAATCTATAATACCGGTACTTTTCAATCTGTGCCCCAGGCCTACATGAGGTCCAGAGCAAGGTCATTCCTCCTACCCTCACCTTTCATTTTTTAACCTCCTCCCCCCCCCATCCCCTTTTCTCATTTCTGAAAGCCTCTTTCATACCTTGGTCTACCTCAAATGGGCAAACCCAAATCAACAACCAGCCAAGGATACAGAAGTAGACTTTATTAGCTGTCCCTAGTCTTTCTCAACCAAGTAGAGGTGAGAGCAAGGTGCTGGACCTGGATGTATAGATGGTTGGTGAAGGATCCATGTTTCGGCTGCATGGCCTGGGCTCAGCAGATGTCAAGAAAAACTGGTTCTTCTTGGATCCAGGGGGCACCATTTAGGAGATCCGTGTGTAGTCAACCAAAGAAGCCCACACTTTGAGAGTCCACAAATGGCAGAAGGATACCAAGAGATAGCCAACATGATTCGAGGGTCCAATGGTCCTCCTTTATCAGAGCAAAACTCCTATGGGCTCTCACTCGGGAGCCTGGGCTTGTCTATCATAGCCAGAAGCGGACAGTGAGGGCCACTAACAGACGGCCTTGCAGCCAGCTGCCTGATGAAGGGGGACTGCTGGACCCTCAAAACTTTTAGGCCTGAAGATTATATCCTTTGGTTGCACCTCCTGACATGGGGGACACAAATAAGGTTTCCACAAGCTGACCACGGATGAGATTTCATAGCCGTGTTGACCTCGTGATGTTCAAAAGGAAAACCATTTATAAATGCCTGCACTTCTACAAAGCTACTTATGCTAACAGGGCATCCACTAAACTCGAAAAGCTTGCCACAGCTGACTCAACTCTATACACACCAACAAGGCGATGGGTTGATTGGCCATTGTGCGTGCTAGAACGCACCTGCTGTGCTGCCTCAGCCGCTGTTATTATATCTGTTACACTGCTATGTATTCACTGCATAGTATTGTTATGCCTGACATCTAGTGGTAGATCAGCGCTACTACAACTTGTTTCCTGTATACATTGGTATCTCACACTGTTCTCCCCTCTTGTTTAGTGTTGGTTGGTATAGTCTTAGATAGACCCTCCCTGCTTCTTCCATTTTTCCCTCATTCGTATTGCTAGCCTTCATTGCAGACACTAGGCTTGGAAGACTATTGTCTTTCTACACGTCATACGACCAACAACTACCCTCGGTCATGTACTTTGAGAAGTAAAACTATGTTGGATTTAGGCTTCTGTGTCTTATTGGAGAGTTAAGCTGCCTGTGGATTGCGCTGATTCACCTAGTGACCACACTGGCCAGAAGGATCGGAGTCCAAAGGAGGTATGTGAAAGCATAAAGCGGCTCATGCCCCATACGTCCGCAGCTCGCACCGGCTGGGGCCAACCGGTGGCGACATTCACATTTCCCGCCAGTTTTAAATGATAGCCGGCCGTGATTAATATATTTTATAAACCTTATAAAAGTCATTTAATATCTGCAGATTTTCTTTTCGCAGTTATTGCTAAAGCCTCTTCCACACAAAGGCGATCGCAGGTGTTAATTATTTGAAGTGTCCTTTGAGACGTTCTACACCTTCTGGACGTCATTGCGGCTTGGCGCCGGCGTGCGTTCGTTGATGTTTTACAAGACTGGCCCTCTGGGAATAGGATTTCCCACAATCGGCGCACGAAAACAGCGGCAGGCCGGCGTGAGTCCTCTGGTGCTCGGTGAGATAGACTCTCCGGGTGAAACATCTCCCGCATTCCGCGCACGAATACGGCTTCTCCCCGGTGTGCGTTCTCTGATGTCCAATCAGGTTGGCTCGTTGGGTGAAGCACCTGCCGCATTCGGAACACTGAAATGGCTTCTCCCCTGTGTGAATTCTCTTGTGGTTAATGTATGCGGAAATGAGGGAAAAGCCTTTCCCGCATTCAGAACAGGAATACGGCTTCTCCCCTGTGTGAGTCCTCTGATGCTCGGTGAGGCTGGCTCTCCTGGAGAAACACTTCCCGCACTCTGCGCAGGAGAACGGAGACACCCCAGTGTGAGTTCTCTGATGTACGAGGAGGTTGGCCCTCCGGGTAAAATATTTCCCACACTCCATACACGAGAAGGGCGACACAGCAGGGTGAGTCCTCTGGTGTGCAATGAGATGGGACCTCTGGGTAAAGCATTTGCCACATTTGGAACAGGAAAACTGGGTCACCCCGGTATGAGTCCGCTGATGTAGCACAAGACTGGTTTTGCGGGTGAAACACTTCCCGCATTCCGAACAAGAAAACGGAGACACCCCGGTGTGAGTCCTCTTGTGTTCCGTAAGGCTGACTCTCCGGGTAAAACACCTCCCGCACTCAGAACACGAGAAGGGCTTCTCCCCAGTGTGCGTCCTCTGGTGCGACGCAAGGTTGCCTATCTGGGTAAAACACTTTCCGCACTCAGAACACGAGAACGGCTTCTCTGGGTTGTGGATTCGCTCGTGAATGGCGAGAGTCGACTTTTGCTTGAAACATTTCCCACATTCCGAACACGGATACGGCCTGTCGTCCGTGTGTGTTCTTTCGTGCTCGAAAAGAGAGGATTTCCAAGAAAAGCTTTTCCCGCACACAGAGCAAGCATATGGACCCTCTGCTGTCCGATTTGTCAGGCTTGACGTCACTTCTGTTCCCTGGGCGAAAAATCTGCAATATACGGAAAATGGCAACTTTTTACCCCTTCTACGAGCTTTACGATGGGTGACGGGAGGGGAGTTATCAGCAAGGGACCCAGCACGCGTAGAGGGCTCAGAAGAACCTGGTGCTGGATGGAGATCGGGGGTGATGGAGTTTTCTTCTGAGGAATCAGATGTGGTGTCCTCATGTTCTAGATCACCATCCTGGGAGATAATACGATTCTTCTGCCCATTGCATTGTCCATCTGGAGGGAAGAAGAAATTAAAGGGGACAGGAAGAGTTAAAGGGAGGACTCATAGACTTGCATTGTAAAACAAATCATCTTGCAGAGCTGCAAAGCAGGAAGCAGAGCCCGTGCAATGATTAAATCTGACCTCCGGCCTTCCCTTCAGTCTTCTCTCTGACCTGCGTCCTTCCCTTCAGTCTTCTATCTGACCTCCGGCCTTCCCTTCAGTCTTCTATCTGACCTCCGGCCTTCCCTTCAGTCTTCTACCCGACCTCCGGCCTTCCCTTCAGTCTTCTACCTAAACTCCGGGCCTTCCCTTCAGTCTTCTATCTGACCTCCGTCCTTCCCTTCAGTCTTCTACCTGACCTTCCCTTCAATCTTTTACCTGACCTCCGGCCTTCCCTTCAGTCTTGCACAGTTGTACCGGCTCCTCTCCTGGACAGAAATGGCTTCCCAGCCCAGCATCACGTAGCTCTTTCCTCCCCAGCCTGACTGTCCATGCCCCACCCCTTACAGCAATTGGATTTCAGTTCTATCAATCACGGAGGCTCAGCATTACCTATGGGCATTGAGCATGCAAATGCAGCCTGACTAGGAACACCCAATCGGGCATGTTCATATTTGCATAACTCTTCCCTACAGCCCGCCCACTGCCTGCATCAGATGTGATGGCTTTTGAGGAGTACTGAGGCTCCTCCCACCAGCTATAAACTGCCTGCATTGTATAGACATCAATTATTCTACAACAAGAGCGGGCTAATTCCGGTCCTCCAGCTGTAGTGAAACTACAAATCCCATGTTGCATCTGCCTGTGGGAGTCACGCCTGTGGCTGGGGGGGGTGGAGACACGACCACAGCACTGGGGTCTATGAAACCTGCAGTGCTTAGTGTATCAGATCTTCAGTATGAGCAGTACTGGTTTTTACTCACCCGTGCCAATCTCTACAAGAATTTCATCCTCTTCAATCTTGACCTGTCTTATTTCATCCTCCTCAATTCTGTCTACTGACAGAGGAGGGGGGAGAAGAAGAGATTGTTGTAGAGACTGAACAAGGAGAATCTGAGACTCTTTTTTGCATTTATTCCTCACCTGTGCCGATCTCTACAGGAACTTCCTCCTCTTTAATTATCACGCGGATTTCTTCCTCCTCCTCCTCAGCTTTGACGTCTCTCTGAGTCTCTCCGGCGTCTGTTGAAGAAAAATAACAGTGAAGCCCCCCTGTACTGACATGCACTTTATGACCAAGAGTGTGTCAGACATTTCATTCAAAAACCATGGCCATTATTGGAGGGTTGAACCCATCTTTTGTGGAAATATCAGCCTCGACTCTTCTAGGAAGGCTTTCCACAAGACTTTGGAGTGTGTCTGTGTGAATGTTTGGCCATTCAAGCAAAATCATTGAAATTCCAGTTAATCCCAAAGGTGTTCAGTAGAGCTGAGGAGAGGGCTCTGAGCAGGACACAACAACAAACTGGTCAAACCATGTCTTTATGGAGCTGGCTTTGTGCACAGTCATGCTGGAACTCCAGAGAAGCCTCCTGAGATGTATGAGAGACCCCAGAGAGTGTGTGTGGGGGGGGAGGGGGGGACTGGTCACGTCTCTTGGCTGGTAACACACAATGACATGATGTGAGGAGGAGAGCTGGAGTCTAATAGAGGCTGATGGCTCCTGACTCCCCCCACTAGACACATTCTGTCCCCCCATTGACTATTCGTCCCGAGATTGCATGATCCTGGAGAGGTCTTACTCTCAGGGTGATGGGGATTCCCTCATCAGCTCTATAGAGTGTCACACGGCGGAACCAGAGACGCATAAGGAGTCCAGTGCAGCTTCACAGTGCTAAAAAGTGATTAGAGTGCTTAGTCTCGGTTAAATGTTAGCTTTCCTTTTGTGTGTAGTTATTTCAGTTTTCCTGTGTGTTTAGTAATACCTTTCCTCTATTCCTAATTAAACCTCATATGGTTACCACCTACATTCTTAGGTCCCTGTTATGCCAAGGCGGTCTCACACACCCTGTGTGTATATATATCAGTATATTCGGTATTTTATATATATCGGTATTTTAACCCAGTGTTTACCACCTATTTTAGGTGGTAAACACTGGGTTAAAATACCAATATATGGAAGAAGGAGGGGAGTCACTGAACACCTGATGAAACTTTGTAATTAAGACACATATATACACACAGGGTGTGTGAGACCGCCTTGGTTTTATAAAACACACTCCAGCACAATAGCAATATTGTAAATGATTCTTTGTAACTCGAGTGTTGATTCCTCACCTGTGCTGATCTCTGGAGGGATTTCCTCCTCCTTACACGGCTCATCACCCATCATATAGGTCTCTACGTCTTCCTCTCCATCATCAGTCTGGTTTACATTCCTTGTAACCTACACAAGGAGAAGAATGGTTTTGTGAATGGCCAAGGAAGTGCCTCGGGAGCTAAACTGGTTTAGAGATGGTCTTTTGGTTCCTTTTAGTAATCCTTACCATAACCATTCATTGGTGTATTTGTTATTTTAGGATTATTTTAATATGACATTTTAGATTTAAGTTACCTGATCCTTCTGAGGGATCTCCTGATGTTCCTGTGTGGAATCCCGGGAATACAGAGGACGGGCCTGAGGGATCTCATGATGTTCCTGTGTGGAATCCCGGGAATACAGAGGACGGGCCTGAGGGATCTCATGATGTTCCTGTGTGGAATCCCGGGAATACAGAGGACGGGGACATCTCTCTGGGGTATTTCTGTTCCTGGATCCATCTGTAGGAAACACACACACTGACTGAATACATTGTTTCTATGTCTTTATATCAGAGGATGTGTATCTAGGGGGATCCTCAATACTCAGGAAATTAAAGTCTCCTCTTACCCGGTGATGTGGGGGGCGGCCGGTCCTCCATCATGGCATCCTTGTAGAGCTCCTTGTGTCCTTCTAGATACTCCCACTCCTCCATGGAGAAAGAGACAGAGACATCCTGACACCTTATAGGAACCTGACACACACAATGATACAGTCACCATCCAGACACATCCCTTGTCTGTTCCTGGATCATGTCCCAGAATTCCCGGCACCACTCACCTCTCCTGTCAGCAGCTCAATCAAACTAGAACAATAAGTGTACTAAGGAAATATGGTCATTAAAACATTAAACTCTCCGGTCAGGTCTGTGATTTATTAATAGAGATAAGAGTGATGTCATGTGACCTCCCAGAATCCTCCTCACCTCTCTATTACGCCCTTAGATGACCTCGTGGATGAGGTATAATACCCTCACACGACTCTGCTCCTTCTCCGTCCTCGGTCATCTATATAGGGGTTTCTCCTTGCAAAGTGTCTTCAATCAACCTGTAGGAGGGGCAGCGAGAAAAATGAAGAGTTAGAAGAAATGATTATAAGAAGATAGCTACAATATCTTCACTACACATCATACGGAAAGGAGGAGATATCTGGTCACCAGAGAGGACATAATACCGTGTTTCCCCGAAAATAAGACCGTGTCTTATTATTTTTTTTGCACGAAATAAGACACTAGGTCTTATTTTCGGGGGATGTCTTATCTGACTGGGGGAGGAGTGGACGAGGTCCCGGAAGGCGGCGTGCTGTTGCCGGTCCCGGCGGATGTCGCTTCCATTGTGCGTGTGTGCGTGCGGGAGCTGCGGCTGGCGTGTGGGCGGGGCAGGAGCTGCGTGCGTGCG